TCTTCTTTTTCTTCTTCTTCTTCTTCTTCTTCTTCTTCTTCCTTCTTCTTCTCTTCTTCTTCTTCTCTTTCTCATTCTTCTTCTTCTAAATCTTCTTCTTTAAGTCAAAAGCTGCAAAATGAAGGGGGAAATATGTTCGTTAAATCCACCTGTAAATTGAAGTAAGTGCAGATTTATATCACGTAATTGCCCCCATAAGCGTACATTATTTTATTTTATCATCAAATACCTTCCGACGCAAATTGATTTGTTTTCCTTTTGATGCATGAGGGTTAATGGAAGATGATGATCCAGACAGGTCATTGCCATGAGAAAGACAATGTCAACAATAATCGAACTATGGCCTAGCCTCACAGGAAGAGACCTAATGTTTTCCCTAACAAATATTTCCCTTCCGGGTATTCAATAATTGAAATCGATTAGGTTAATGTAAGTATCATGCTGTATGTCATCAAGGTATCCTTCTATTACCCCCCCCCCCCACCCTTCCCCCCCCCCCCCTCTCTCTCTCTCTCTCTCTCTCTCCCTCTCTCTTTGGCTCTCTTTTTGGCTCTGTCTCCCTCGCTCTTTCATTCGTACGTTGTTCCCCTCCCCAAACAGAAGAAGAAAATAAAGAGGATAGGAAAAGAAGGAAGATGAAGAGTAAAAGAGGAAGAGTATTGGAAGGAGTAGGAGAAGGAGGTGGAAATAAAGGAAGGTATGAGGAAAGGGAAGACGGTGGGAGGAAAAAAAGACGAGGAAGAGTAATCGGAAGAAGAAATTGGAGGGAAAGAAAGACAAAAAACAGAAAGATAAAACATGAATTGTGATAATAGCTGTTCAACGTCGGTCCATCTATTTTAATTTTTTTCTTCATCTTCTCTGTGATTCAGCCAAGAAATGGTTAGATCGTGTTCAAGGCCTAAATATCATATCTGTAGCTTATTTTCCCTTACCCGAATGTTTATCGAAACCAAAAGTGCAAGTCCCAAAAAATAATTTTACTGCATCTTTCTTCCCCCCCCCCCCATTTTGTTTCTTGATATCCAGGCATGTATAGGCTATCAAATCATTACAATCGCCATGTGTACTGAATATAGTGCTGTACACAATGCTTGATTTGATTTGGGATATACATGTATCATATTCTAAACTTCAACTAAACTAAAAAATTATATTAGGAACAATTATTGAATGTAACATTTTTTTCCTGGATACTTATAAATCACTTTGAATGGATAGCTACTGCCTTCATGAACATCATGCTTATATTCAGTGCATTGCAAACAAATGCTGTGTACATAAAGACTCAGTATGAACTCAATGAATTTCTTTTTAATAGTTTAATGGATTCATTATTAAAGCCAGTCATAATACACAATTATAATATCATATAAATCTTTGAAATAATTTACAGCATGAATGTTACACCCTCAGTGTTTCTACAGAAAAGGCTTATAATATATTGCAATAGCAAGAAATAAAAACAGACTAAAATGAAAAGGGCTACAAAATATTGGTAATAACCCACCATCTAAACATTCCAAATGAATGAAACACACGCTGAATAAAAAATATATAAAATCTGAAGAATTGTATTTAAACCCCAAAACTTGCACTCTTTTACTCCCTCTTTCTTATTATGGCAACATGATGCAATATATTATATATTATAAGTACTGTTGCTCTACTCTTATTATGCTCCCCTGGGAGTGGAAAATGTGCACACATTGTGTGCGGGTAAGCAAGAATCCGATGACCGGGGTAATAATATATCTGTAAAGCACTTAGGCACATCGTTAGATTGGTGTATTGAGCGCTATATAAAAAAACGGATTATTATTATTATTATTATTATTACCAAGAAAGGGAGAAAATTTAAGACCAGGCATGAGATCGCAAAAAGAGAATATATGTATTATTGTGTTTATAATATTTTGTAAATGTCGCTGAGTATATGTGGAAATAAACATGCCTTTCAGACGTTTTTGTTTCATGCAATGCCATCTACCCCAATAAGACATATTTTACTACAATACGGTTTACCTATAGACATCTTACACAACGTACCATGCTATGTGATTATTTAAAGATTATGGATAAGTTTTGTATAATGATTAAATCTAATCATACTAAATCAAACTTCATAAAAATATAACTTCATAATTTCAATACAATATTATTTGTAGAGCAAATTAACACTTTTCACAAGTATTGTGATATGGATATATATTTATCATCAATGGGTTAATCTATGTTATAAAATGTTAATTAGACGAAGGATTCATACAGATATTGCACCAGAGAACAAGGTCATCTCTTAGAGATCTGGCTTTCTCAGCCGTTGAACCAATTATCAGCTCATATACATTCCTTAGAAATTGGTTATTCCTTTCAGACAAACTTGAAGACTGTTCTTTTTCCAAATTCATGCAGTACCTCAATGTTATTCAACTCGATTTGTATTATCCTGTAGTCTGTTTTGTACCCTCCCATGCCATAAGTATTGCAACATGATGAAATTCGTTAAATTTGTGGTTAATGACTTCTCTTTGTTGTAGTGGTGTTTTGTTCGAAATTGAACATGCATGACCGTTGTTTCGGTATAAAATGAATGTGCACCTTGTTCACTTTCTCATTCAATGCTACTGAGTCATTCATGCACGCACCATGGTTAAGACAGCCGAGTTATCTAACGAGCAACGCCGACAAATCGTTGCATTGAGACAGGAGGGGGTTTCGGTAGCTCGGATTGCTGATCGCTTTGGGGTATGCCGTCAAACCGTGTACCGAGTGTGCAAACGCTACGAGGACACAGAAAATTCCGACAAGCGACCAAGACCTGGCAGAAGCAGGAAGACAACGCCCCGGGAAGATCGCTACCTTCTGCGTCAGGCCCGTATGACCCAATTCGATTCAGCCCAAACTTTGGCAGCTCACTGGAGCGACAGAATTGGTAGCAGAATCTCAAAGAGAACAACACAAAGACGCCTGTACTCTTACAATCTCCATGCCCGCATTTCCAGGAGAAAGATTTTGATATCTCGCGTCAATCGCCTAAGACGCATCAGGTGGGCCACCCGAGTGAGGGATTGGACTTTGGAGAACAATTGGAGGCATTTCGTCTTTTCAGACGAGAGCAGGTTTTGTCTGTCTTCGAACGACGGAAGAGTAAGAGTCTGGCGTGAACCTAACACCTCTTACGACCCAAGGAACCTTACTTACACCCAAAGGGGTTCAGTTTCAGTCATGGTCTGGGGATGTGTCGGCCTCTATGGAGTTGGCGATCTTGTTGTCGTAGATGGGAACATTGATAACGCCAAATATCGAGATATTCTGGACGCCCACTTGTTTCCATCCATTGCTAACATCTTTGGCAACGCGCAACACCCGTTCGTCTTCCAGGATGACAACGCACCGGCACACAGGGCAGCCAGGATGGACCAATGGTATGACGAAACTGGCGTCAACAGGGTGCAGTGGCCGGCGCAATCACCAGATGCTAACCCGATAGAGAATCTGTGGGATGACATCAAGAGAGCCAACACCAAAGACCGACCAACCACGAGGGAAGGTTTGGTCCGCTCTATCTTCAGGGCCTGGGGCAGCATCACCCAAGAAAGATTGCAAGGACTCTACGCGACGATGCCAAGAAGGATGCGCGCCATCATTAGAAGGCGAGGATATCCAACAAAATACTAGAGACTCGTGAATCTTACATGAAAAATGACTATTGATATATCAATAAAATGTGCCTGATAGTATGATAAAAAATGATGCACTACATATTCATTAAAACAGCACTCATTTTCATGTAATTATTTGTCTCCTGTGTAATGTGTGTGTCTATGTTGCAATACTTTTGGCACGGGAGGGTACTTCTTCTTTCTGACTTTTTTAATTTCATAATGCGCCTATCTTACCAGATAGATGGCGCAATATAATTATATCATCATATTATCATAATATTGTTATCGTTGCTGTTGTTGTTTTTGTTATTTTTATCCTTATAATTATTATTATCATTATAATTATGATTATCATTATAAGTATTACTACCCCCCCCCCCCCTTGATAATACACATACAGGTGTAGCTTGGTACAATAACATGTCAAACAAATTATATCAAAATAATCTATTAAAGTATATTACATATATAATCTATACCAAATACGGCTGAGGAGTACGTTATGACATAGATGCTTGACATGTATACAAAATTAAATTTTAACTCAGTGGAATCACTCATGCTGTAAAATATATCTTACAAGTAACTGCTCTTTATATAGTTTAAATATATGTCCAAACATATACATGTACCATCTTCTCCATAAATTTAGTACTTTCACATAACGATATCATACCAACACTGTTACCAAATCCATCAAATGTTGATGGATAAGGAAAAAGAAAATCTTGATATAAAAACTTCTTTTCAAAAGACAACATACAACTATTTTGTTAATCCACAAACATTTCTTGTGAAAATTTTCAGATTTTTGTTAATATATGCACTTTACATTATTTTCATACATTCTGAAGACATTGTTCAAAATGGTTGATGCTGCTTAATTATTGTTTTCTATTCACTCTGCTGGAATTGTTTGCATTACTCACATATGGCTATAGCCACCCCCCCCCCCTCACCCCACACACGCACACCCACACATGTGCAAAATATACAAGTTTCGTTGCACAAGCAGACATTTGATTTTTCCATCCCTTTCAAAATAACCACAGATTACAGATAATTGGGTCACAAGCTGCCTTTACTATTTGCTGCACTGATAAACATTCAAAACTTTGAAAATGCTGATGTATATACAACACAATGCCCTTCAAAATTCCATTCTACATCACACACTGTTGACTTGCTCCAGCAATATATGGGTTCTCCACCTTCTAGGAGCACCAAATTAACCCCACCCCCCCCCCTTCCAATTTGGCCATTGAAGGATATTGAATAAAGCAAATCCTAACTAACATGCTCAAGTGTTCTACAATCAAAGATTTTCAGAACTAATCACATATTCATTTATACAGAAATCTTCTGATGATTTGAGAACTTGCATAAGTCCACAAATACCGAGTAATAGTGGTTTTTTTAATTATTATTATTGTACATTGAGCCATGATTATGTTTGTAATTTTTTTTTGTGAATTTCACTTATTGTTATAAGGTTGTGAATTTACGTGTGAAAATGAAATGGGGATGCATGTGCAAACATATATTGTATGTAGCTTGTGTTACTTTATCATAATATTTGTTAATGACTCAGTTAGACGTAGGATACATTCTTCCCTGCTGAAAAGCCATCATGCATGTAACACACTTATCCCGCTGGGCCCTGTTGCACAAAACTTACTATTGATGGTAACTTTGCCATCAATGGTAACTACCATGGAAATCTTGATTTCGATTGGCTGTTGAGCCCTGTTACCATGGTAGTTACTACTGATGGCATAGTTACCATTAATGGTAAGTTTTGTGCAATGGGGCCAGGTTGTCAAATTATTTGTTTACTCATTGACTGCTTCACATCAGCTGTGCCAGTCACCACTTTGTATAAATTGATAGGATGACTGATGATGAGGATGATCATGGTGACGATGGTGTCAATGACGACGATGATGATGGTGATGACGATGACGACGACGATGATGATGATGACGACAATGTTATCGAGTCAGGGTATCAAGAACCTTCTCCTCATCGTTGCCGTGAACAATCAGCTCTCTCTTGATATCCTCAGCCTGGAAGCCAAGTTCCTCAAACCTCTGCCACAGCTTCAAGAAGGCTGAAGCCTATAGCAATGGTAAGTACGCAAAGTGAAAGAAAGTCAGAGAATCAAATTGGAGATGGGCGGGACATGAAGCAAGACTTCAGGACAATAGATGGACAAATCGTTTAACAGAATGGCAACCAAGGATGGGAAAGAGAAGAAGAGGAAGGCAGAAGAGAAGATGTAGAGATGACCTAACATCATACATGGGAACAGCCGCTTGGACTAGGATAGCTAGAGACAGAAGAGAATGGAAATGTTATGAGGAGGGCTTTGTCCAACGTCTGGTATAGCCTGATAGATAGATAGATAGATAGAAAGTAAAAAATAGAAAGGTGAGTGATAGAAGGAGACATAAATCTGCACCCTTGCACAACAGAAAGTGTACTTTGTTGACATCAAAACAATAAAAATAGGCAAATATGGTGCTCTCCGAATCCAGATGTACATGTCACTAAATAACTCTTGAATGCTACAAGTTGTTGAATTTTCTGGAATGCAACCAAATGTGAATCACATTCCAAAATTCCTTAAGATTTTGCATAACAAACTTTTATGTATTTTGAAACAGTTTATGTTCTTTCTGCCAACACTAGACATTTTACTCAGTAGATTCTGAGTAAAATGTGAATAAAGGTACAATTAGAAAAATCCTCAAAAGAAGGTATATTCTTATCCTGATTAACTTGGTCATAAAGTGAGGCTAAACAAATATCCTCCTGCAACTACTAATATTGGGCTTATGTCATCCAAGAAATAGGGTGAGGCTAAGGTAAAGGAATAGTGGTTTGACCATGATGGAAGTCAAAAATTTGGTTGAGTAGGATATGACAGTAGAATAATTGTCGCCGGAGCATGTGTCCGTACAACCCGTAAAGTGCAATGCATACCTTATCCTGATTGTTATCCTGTAAGCTAAGAGCAACCTCTACTTTCCCTTCTGGAAATCCTTGGCCACATAGAGAATCAACTGCACATAGAAGATCCACCACCTGTAAGAATAGAATCACAAAGAATTTTTCTTTTAACTGTCATAAATTAAAGACAAATATCAGCACTTGTCACTTAATTACATTTTGAAAGAAACTGTTTGGATGCAGTTTGGAATGGTTGATTTTTCAAAGTACATTGATGTGTACTGTGAGGTTTTGGAATAATCAAACTGAAAAGAAAATTGAATCAATCATGCTGAAAATCAAATGCACTGCACAATGGAATGGGTAAAAGGGACTATACACATGTGTGGCAAGACAATTTCATCCAGCTCATATTTAAAATACAAGGCATTAAAAGGGCATTTTTTCTGGGATATTTCTATAATTATAAAGTAATAACAGTTGTAACCCCCCCCCCCCCTTAATAATGTTTGAAATATCTATCAAACTACTCTCTGTCTTCACTTTGAAGGGTTTTGACAGCCAAGATGCTCTGCCCTTGAAGAATCCCATGCGAATAATGACACTGACAAAATTCTTGTTTGCTGATTTTATCGATATACCTTTCTGTCAAAACTGCCTTTGTTTTTTACAGCTCTTTCCATTTGGGAATACCAAGCTAACAATAAAATTCATTAGGTTCTTGGAACTAGTACATGTTCACTAATTCTATTGATACATCCAAGTGTCGTAACTTCTGATATTCTTGAAAGCACTTGCCGTCCCTCTCATAGGGAAGGCCTTCTAAAAGACAGTCTCTTAGAACTGATCCTTGTTCATAACTTTCATTGCCCTACACCCTTACCTGTCTATCATCACTGCCAATGTTTTTGACAGCTCTAGCCGTCCTTCCCTTAGGGAATCCCATGCTGACTATAGTATTCACAAAGTTCTTCTCCTCGACGTTCATTGCTTCATACGTTGGGTCCTGAGGCTCGGTGTTGATGGTGCTCAGATGGCGAGATGCGGGTGGTAACGGGGAGTAACTACTTAGATTCTGTGTACATGAAGTGAATAAAATATGCAAAGATTAGTGAACACACTTTCAATGCATGTCCTGTAGTAATCCTCAGAGATTCTTAATTTTGAAATCACTGATTTGCTGTGCACGGGTGCTCGGCTGAAGTTGCCACAATATTTAATCAAATTGTCACCAAGCACATTTACATTTTGTTATGCCAGCTAATCGTTCCCAAAGTACATTTTGTAACGATCACACAAATGTTGGCACTTTTACATACAACTTTTGTGATATAACCTCAATGTAAAAAAAAAAAAAAAATTGTAAAGGAGGGCTATTGGAAGATTTTACAAAGCTGCTGCTGCATCCTCGTGATACCTTGCAATTTAAGAGTTACAAGGCATTTTTATATTATAAGCACATTGACTATGAGTACATTGACGGTAAGTGAGCTTTCAGTGAAAAAATACACTGGGGCTCAGGGCGAAATAAACCCCGAAATGCCCAAAAGAGCCCCCGAAAATCAGATAAGAGCCCCCATAAAGTTACATAGAGTTCAATGCAAAACAAATTTTAGAATGTTATTTTCAGGCAGGCAAGCTTGAAAAGTAGCCCCCGAAAAATAAATATTAATTTTTTCCCTGTGAGCTTTGAAGCCTTCTGACATTTTCTTAGGGATAGCAACTATGAAACAATAATATTTTGAAACAGAACAAGTCTTGGTTCAAAAGTGGTTGTATAAAATTGCATTTGTTACGCTTTAAAAAATCAGCCCACACATGAACCATATAATCAATCACTCAAAGTGGGATTGTCTTGTTGTTAAAGGAAAGTACATGTACAATGTACATCATATACTGGTCTTGAATGCAGTTGTCATGTTTGTAGTGAAAAGATTAAATGAGCTAGTATAAGTGTGTCAGTGTGAAATACAACTCCCACTTGGTCCAAAAATGTGCAAAAAAGGCAAGTCAACAGTGTCTGGTCGTTTGCTGGACATCCTCAAAATATCTTGGGCTTGTCCAATTGAAGATGAGTAAAGTCTACATTATATCCACATCCACACATCAAAGAATTAGGATTAGAAACAGATTTAGAAAAATAACTAAACAGTCAGTTACAAACAAACACAACAACTCACCACTGGAGAGAAATTAGCATCTAGAAGTTCATCCTAGAAGAAGATAAAAAGATAGGAAATGCCACTGCAATCACAACGCTTAAGAATTGCTAAAGTGCAATAAAAAAAAAACACAATGGAACAACGTGGAGGTAGGGATGAGGTATGTGTTAGACATTGAAATTATGATTTGAAGCACAACAAAATTCAACTCAAGCAAAATTGTTCAGTTTGTAGACAAAGGAACATGTACGGTACATACATGTACATGTATGTAGTATTTATAAGCTCAATAACCATGGCTTACTTTTTCAATCCCCTGTAAAATTATAGAGTAATGATGTGCTTGTAGTTATTAATATATTATGAATTACAATTTTTCTTCTTTTTTAGGGTGACAACTTTAGTGACAAGCAAGTTTCATATTGGCTCATCATAGTTCGCAGAATTAATCAAAGCAGAAATTTGTGCATTGTACGGTGTACCTCCACCAACAAATATTTCCCCTGAATCCCTGTGGCCTACAGTGTATCTATAAAATGGCACATTCTATTTTTCATTGTTCACGATGACAAAGGCTAATATTTACAGTGTCACAGAAGAAAGATCAACATTGCCTACCAAAATTGAAGGGTCAGTAATGGTGTTTATACAGTATGTTGAATTGTACATGTAAATAAACTGGTTACTGGGGACATGCAGTCATGCATGCAAATATATATATATACAGATGCATGTACATGTATCATACATACATGTATTAGTACTGTATGCATCGAGGCTAAAATAATATGATAGTTTGCTATATTCACTATACATGTAAGTAGGCTTCCATTTTTTAAATTCCTGTCTCCATGAATTGATTTTTTTTTTAAATGAATATTCGATCTAGAGATGTTGCAGGTGATTCTCCCCACTCATATTCTTCAAGTATAATTGCCAAGCATCATTGTATGAAACTTGTGAAGACACTTCTGTACATGTAATTTCATTTTATAAAGGTTTGCTTCCAACACAAATGGTGTAAGCCTACAAGGAATACTGGAAAACAAGTAATGTTTTTAACATGACTGCAAATATATCTCAGTACAATTTTGTATAATTTTGGCTGATAAATGATTTTTTTTCTTCAATTGGCACAACACTCAAATGTGAAATGTCATCTATACTTTTTGATTGGCAAAGGTTCATAATTGACTGGTGCCACCTCTAAACAAACAGAAGATTATGCTTGATAAAGCCTGGGGTAACATACTATGTACATGTGTACAGTATGTATGTATTACAGCTAAAGCTTTACATGCACTTTGAACATGTTTGCAGTATAACAATATACGTATGCCTAACATATTGTGTTACATTTTCTTTGATTTTGTAGATACAGCTGCAATCTTAATTTATAGGGTAACACTAACAACAGGAAGCGCTTCTAGTATTTCCCTTAAAATAACACTTGAACAGGCCTGATACATACATTGTACATGTACATGTATATGTAAGACCCTACACAAAATACATTTGATATGAAGTGAAGTTCTGATATAACAGAGGGCTGCATGTACATGTAGGGAAGGAGTGCCTTCTGTATTCTATTTCTATGAGGGACATGAAAGAATGTTATCTACTGCATCTCATATGAAATATGATGTGATACGAGGACTTTTGAATAGTATCTGATCATGATATTGTCTTTCAATTCAAAATCAACTTCATGAAGAGGTTCTAATGTATCCATACATGTAGATACCGACTTAATTTGTTTCCTTGAATTCCCATCGCTCATAGTCATAGCCAAGCCGTTATTCATCTGAGATCCAGAAGCGTATTGCCATTAATACTGAACATTACAGAGTTACTTGCAACTCGTTTCATGCTCTCAGCAGAAAATGTCTTCTCCCTTTCCACTACAACTCTTCACTTTTATCTTGTTATTTAAACATATTTCTTTCTCCTTTATGCTGCATTTTATACATGGCTTTGTGTCATTACATGTACATGGAGATGTACACTGTACATGTACACCTCTTGTCACCTTTTTTCTTATCTCTCTTCTCCTTTTAATTTAATTGTTTTTGTTCTATTTCTCCTACTCTACTTTTCTCCTCACATTCCTGTTTCTTTACAACAACCAATGGCGAAGGGAATATTGCTGTGAAATAATGTTTGTACAGAAGGGGTGTGTACATGACAAGTCTATAAAATGACTGTCTTAAATACTTTGCTTTTAATGCTTTCTTTGTTTTACAAGTTCATGCAAATCTATGTGAATAGCTTCATAAAATGGTGCTACAGCTGTACAGTACATGTTCAAAATGTGCATGTGTACTTTAATACACATTCATGTGAATCCCTATACAGCTATAATGTAATAAAGCTAGGTTTCCTTCCAGGTGTTTTTACAATACCAGCCTCACATCAGCAGATACTGAACACACAAGGTATAAAAAAAGACAAGTACTTTTTTGGTCTTGAGCCAAGAACATGTTGTAGCTACATCAACACTTTTCCTACCCACATTATGATTTGGTATTAGATGCAAGGTGTCAACTTGAGTGTACTACAGTACACGCAACTTTTTCCAATATATATGACTCACACATTTAACAGCTGTGTATTTCATACATGTAAACCCTGTCTGTATTCATTTCTTGGGGCCGGAAACGTCATGCTTGTAATAATATGTTGGCCCCTAATGCATTTATTAGGCCTACAGTACATTTATCGGTTTCTGCAAATGTGTGAAAACTGGAAAATATGTATGCTCATTACATACATGTAATGTATACCAGCATTATGATTTATGAAATCTGTCATGCACATTTTAGATTGTTTTGTTTAATGACATTATGAATTTAGTTGCTAGGAACCAGTAAATAGGCAAATATTCCTATGCAGAAATTGCTAAACTGCTTTACGTTATTCTTGATTCTAGATAATTACTTGTAGACTGTACATGTATTGAATAAATATGCAAGTACAATGAAAAGTATATTGATGCATTTGAAAAAGAAGAATACATTGTGTACAGGAGCATGATTGATTCAGGCTGCAGAAAGATTTTTTTTTTTTTTTAAAGCTTTCTAAAGCTTTCTAAATATGTCCATGTGCAAAGAAATTACAGCTTAGTGTTGAAATGGGACAAGAAACTTTAATACAGCAAACTAACAAACAAGAGAAAACATAAACTTTTTCTGTAGCAAAATTGGAAAGGTTGAATATAAAGCAAGACTGTTTTTCATTAATAACTAAAAGTATTATTCATAAAAAGGTTTAAAAGCTAACAAATCAAAAGGTGATATAATAATCACATTGCTTAGAAGGTTGAAGGGTTATAAACACAAACAGCATGCAAACAACTGCAACAGTTACACTAGGTTTGGGGGTGGTGTATAGAAATATATATGATCAATAGAAGACTGACTGCTCCTCCCCCCCCCCCCCCCCTCCTCCCAAAGAAAAGAAAAAAACAGGTAAGCTGTGTGTAACCTTTAGTTTTCTTCTCTTAACATAAACTCTGTCAATTTTGGAATATCTTTTTATGATTGTTCAGCTTCAGTTTCAGTTCAGTTTTATTGTTATTTTTATTGAACAGACATGTACATTTACATCCCATGAGTTAATGTTAAATTATTTACGGTAGAAGTGAGAGGTATCTGTTAATTTTTCAAGAATCAAATGTTATTCAAAAACTTATTAGAAGGTTATCAAGGTGCAAACGTTATTTATAAACCTATAGGAGCAGGTCAAGTGGATTAAAGATGATCTCTACTCACCATGGGGTAGTTTGGAGGACGATCAATAGCTGCATTAGAAGAACTCCCTGATGACACTGCTGTGTAGTCAACGGATGAGTAGCTAGGTGGAGGTGACCATCTTCCTTGATCAGGGGGAGTGGGTCCAACGCCTCCAGAACTAGAGGACATTAGACTGGATTCAGAGTTCTCTCTCGAAGGACCTATGGGAGGAAGGGGACTATGTGATGCAAAAGGATCATTCCTCAGAGGGGGTTGAACCGAGGATATAGAAGTACTTTGTAAAGTTCTTTTAGGGAGGGGAGGAACGGATTGCTCCGTGGTTCGGTAGGCTGGAGGTACTGCAGCAGGTTTACTTTCCTGTTCAGGAGGAATTTGTTTTTCTGGTTTGAAGGAAACTTGATTGAGATTTGTCTCCATCTGTACTTGATTGTTCTCGTCTGACGCGGGTATATCCATGGCGTCGGTCAAAGAAGAAGCTGCTGCCTCCTCCGTGTTGACATCCATAGGAGGGGGGCTGGACTGTTGGAGTTGGTTGCTATGGACAGCCGTTGAGGCCATCGATGCAGAATTGGCCAGAACACTACGCAACTCCTCCATATCATTTATAGTTTCCAGCTCAGCCAGTTCGAACGGATCATGTGACGGTAGTGACCTGCCCTCAAAGTCATCCCAGTTATCTGTCCTGACATTCTGATTATTATTGGCTGGTTTGGAAATACTGTTTGCTAGAGGCACTGGTTGGAGGATCTCATTGCTGAGGGTTGCTGCCACTGGAGGCAGAGCAGGACCCTGTAACATGTTACTTTGCATAGGAAACTCATTGCTAGTTGTCTTTGGTCCATCCGGTACTGTCTCTTCTCGTTGTAAAGCGGCTTCAGCAGCCTCAGCTCCAAGTTGTTGTTGTTTCCTCTTTTCCTCCCTCTCTGTTTCGGTTCTTCTTACACCATTCAGCCATTCTAGAAAGGTGTTCTCATTCTGGAAATCGTACTGTGATAATACATGTAGATGATAGAGACATCAATGTATGAGAATTAAATTCAAATGATAATGGTAAAGGTAGCACATCAGAGGTCCAAGAGAAAAAATATTAACAATCACAAGATATATGGACAATCTATATTCTAATAATTTCATCCAAATAAAACCAGGAATGTAAAACCAGAGATTTTCATGAAACTTTCATGAAACAAACTTTGTCAATGGTTTAGCTTTGTAACTTATGGAATTGTATTAATTTGCTTGCAAACGAAATGGTTGTTGTTGACTATTTGCAAAATTAGCAAAAGTGTCTGGTTTTACAGCATTCTGCCACAAGGCTTGGGGATCAGTAATTAAGATATTTCCTGAATGGATTATATCATTTCATTTCATTCTCATTCTCTCTCTCTCTCTCTCTCATTTATATTTTATATTTTTAGTTTACCTCCAGTTTAGTATTCAGAAGCTTTGGTTCCTTGTGTTTGTACTGGAGTGGCAGCGTGACTTTGTTAGTAGGCTTGAACTTGTCGCTCAGTCGCAACTCAACCCCCTCCACACTGGACACTGTAAGAAAACAAGCAGACACGTACATGTATATATGTCAGGATTAGTTGTTGCCAATTTGATAGTAAGCTTTCATGATCAGGAAGTATTAAGTTCATGCTCGGTATTGAGAAAATGCCATCACATTTAATCAGTCATTTAGTTGTCACGAGTCTCACAACCATGAACAATTTGGTAAATTGTCTGTGGTGTCATGTGTAAACTAAATAGAACATCTTCTTTCCGTAACCTCTGCTAGAAAATTAGGAGAAATGTACAGGACATGCAAAAGATATTTTAAATCATAATTTCCTGTATACATGGAGTGTTTGTTTTCTCTGATGCATTATGCAGTGTATATGTAGCTGTCCTAATGATTGGACTGAATATCATCATAATACAAAAATATTCACCACATGCCCAAACAGATTATAACGACAGTTGGTTGATACCATGAAACATATAAAGATCACTATCATTAATTATGTACACTGAGTATTACTACATGTACACTGTACACTCATCAATCATTGTTACCAGCGGTCACTTCATTCTTCATCAACTCATCAAAAACTGAATATACTAGAGTACTGTATGCTTGGAAATAAAGAATAAAACAATAGTACTAGTAATTCATTAACTACATAAATTACTATAATACCTAATTGTATTTTTGAGCTGATTTACTAGATGACTGAGCTTTAAAATGAGCCTTTCTTAAAGATAAAATGTACATACTGTACATAATAATAATAATAATAATAATCAGCTTTTATGTGACTACAATTTATGAAGATTTAGTATATGACCTACAATCTACATGACACAATTTAAGACCACTTGTCAGAACAATTTTCTAGTTTTACATGTTAACATTCAAGAAATGTTATATTCCAATTTTGCTAATTGTGAATAATCATAAACGAAGAATGAAATCCCCAAAACAATTGCATGCACACTTCTTCTTCCTTCTTCTTATTCCAGGGCAAGTACATTCCTTTGGGTAGAATATTTTTGTACTGTTGAGCAGTGCTGTGAACTGCAATATAGTGTGCCATGCTGCATTGTGTGAGCCTCCAAAAAAAAAGGTCCAAAAAGTTTTGAAATTGAGTAGTAAAAAGTGTTTCTTGTGCAAGTAAAAATATCTCCTTCTCCAACTAGTTCTGACGCAGTGTTACCCCATTTTGGACAAGTTTGAATGAGCCGAGATGTAAACTTACCAGAATATGCCCTGTGGAGAGTCTGCGAACCATACGCCATGTTACCTACAATCTGGATATACAAAGCAACAAAAATTAATGCATTTTCATTTCTAGAATCATCCAACATGTTTATTCAGTGGACAGCACTGATCATTATGATGATACAACAATAACATAGAATCTGTATGTTTTTATTTCAGCAAAGTTCTATTTCAATATTAAGTTATGAACGCTGAGGGGCGAGGCGGCTCATGTCGTAATGATTTGGAAACTTTTCCTTTCTTCTCTTCATTTCTTTTCTTTAATAAACAATACAATTATACAAAATGAAGGGTTTGCATATTAATAAAGTCCTGCTTCTGACCTGGATATATATACATGTATGTAGCATGTACATGTACAGACTAGTACCCAAATGGCAATGCTCCTACAATTATGACAATCTAATTTCCAATTTGTCATCATGCAATGCCAATGATATTAAAGATGTAAAATTACATTGTTTAGCGAATTAAAATCATAAATGTACGCACACGAACGTACAAATGTACGTCCTTAGTGATCATCGAATTATACTAATAATAGGCTAATAAGTTACAGTGTAGTTAGCATGGACATGGACATGGCGAGTAATAATATTGTACTATTGAATCATATTTCAATCCATTTTCAATTCAATAATATCGACTCCTCTCATCATGCTCATATTATGTTAAACTTGTTATATTCATGTCATATTTGTAAAGTGTGTTATGAAAGAAAGATAAATAAAACTTGAACTTGAACTTGAACTATCAATGATCATGCTCATCATCATGATCATGCTCATTCTTCTCTTTTTTTTCATTAGATCTAGAATAGATCTGCATCTGATTACATCCAGCAGAATTCATTATCCTGATTTTAAAAAGCCAATAGTATTGCAACACAACTATCATATCATGACAATACAAAACTCAGTCAGACACAGCAATCTCAACATAAAATAAAAAATAAATGCAAAGCCCTCATGCCTCACAGTCACACACACACTGCACGGCTCAGCCTCAACTATGCCACAACTCAGGCAGGCACCCCGACAGGCAATAGCTTTACAGCTCTCTTAACAAAATATAGATATTTCTAAATTAAAACTTACATTCTGCACCATGAAATGATTAATTTAGTGGCATTTAGAATCAACATTAGGCCAAGGGACGATTTGTATTTCTTCGAAATTCACTCGTGATTATAGGCTTGCATTTGTTATTGAATCACCCAAAATAGTTCCTCACAAAAATGATATCATCTTTCCGTCTTTCGACCAAAGAGTGCGCCCTTGTAATCTGAAGATGTTTTCTGAAGCTCAAATTTGAAGAAGAAATTAGTGCTTTTTTATCCAAAGTGCCAATTTTTACCCATATCAACAATTATGTATTCAATGATGAGACGATTAAAAGTGTCTGGGATTCCATTATCTCAGCTTATCCATCGTAGAGCGGCCAGAAATGTGCTGGTTGAGGTGCGTATTTATTATATCGGTCCCACCTGTTCACTATTTTGTTTGTGAAAGGTAACTTATCATTAGATTCGCAGACAGATCTAGTATAGTCTACAGTATACCTCAAAAATTCACTGAGAAAGATTTCAAAAATTTGATATATCACAAATGGAAAGAAAAACCTAAAATTACACATTGTTTTAACTTTCTTTGGAATTAAGTGTGAAATAGTGAAAATATTCACAACAGATCAGCAAACTTTGCAGTCTTGCGTCCATTCCAAAAGAATATGAGCTTAGATCTACCCCAATACGCATTGGCATTGACTCTCTATGCTTTGCTGGAGTGAGCTTAATCAGTCTAATACTAGTAGTACAGACAAGGCCAAGGATCTGGAAACCTTTCTTTTGCCTGAGAGAATATGTCATTTAAATTGTAATTAAAAAATGATTCAAACTGATTGCATGATATTTTGACATAATTATTATTGTCAGTGATGGATCGCTTTTTTTGGATTTCTTGATCTTAATAAATTTGTTTAGACTTTGAAAAATCGTGGATTGCGCTTTAAAGGGAAGAGATTATGTGCTCAATTTTTACTTGTTTTTAGCTGAACACATCAAATTTAATTGTGCAGTGTGGCATGCATACTTTTGTTCTAGACCGAAAGTTAGTCTCTGATATCGACAGTTGCTACACTGAGATTTACATCTGACTGCACCTATACATATATGGGAATGTTGACAAATGTCAGTTTTATTAAAGAATGACCCATGTCACCCATACCAGATTGCCAGACGCTTATTTCTGTCTACCAGTAACTTTTGTCTAAATTTGTTTTGCTTTGGCACAGGTACAGAATGCATCATTTCAGCAAGGAACCGGTGCTACCCATTCCGTCTTGCCAAAGGACTTGGTGTTCCCATCAAGTTCAAGAATATCATCTCATTACAGAGCTTTAACAGCAGATAGATATACAGGATTTGTAAGATATTCAAGTGGGAGCAATGAAAAGGAGTGAGTTTTCAACAGGTTATTCCAATATGTGTCATTATCTTTGTTTATTAGTTGAAAGAGTGATTTCAATTCATCTTACCTCAGCTATATGAATTTTCACTTTTATATGAATCAGCCTTAAGCTGTGAATTAGAATTTTTATCAATACACCTTGTCAATTCAATTTAATTCCATATTCACATATCCAACATTTTCCATCAATTTCAATTTATGTGAGTTTTTATAACTCCTTTTCTTTATTATATTCCTGTTCCCCATTTTAATCTTCTTTTAATCTTCTTTTAATCTTCAGTTATTTCATTATATTTTGTTTAGTTGTTTTGTCTTCTTTTTTGTTGATATGTTTTGTTTTCATGGTGAGTGGTTTTCTTTTAATTTTTCTTTTGATGCAGAGAATTAAGTGACCTTCATTTTGAGAAGATTGTCGATGAGGCGCTGGATCATCTTTCAGAATTCTTTGAAATACTTGGAGATTCAGAGAAATGCCCAGCAGACTTTGATGTCTTGTACAGTGTAAGTTTTGTACTTTTCTTATGAAGTCTAACCCTAATCTTGGCTTAATGATTAGTAGGCCTTATCTCAATGTAACTCTTACAGCATCAACTAGTTTAGGTCAGGTCTGACTTGAATATATTATATTATTTTGTTTTGATACGGTATTTCATTGGTTTAAGTAATAAACTTTTTAATTGACCAAAAAAACACATTTTACAACTGATGGACTAATTATAGTTTTATCTACTTTTTATTGTGTGCAACAGTATAAGTTGTTTCTGCTTTTGCCCATAAAAAACACCCCATTTTGTACAATGAATGAAAGGAGTTTTTGTAAGCTTGGCGTTTGTTTTTTTATAACATATTTGTTATATTTTTCTTAGTCTGGTGTACTAACAGTAGCCTTTGGTCAGGAGCATGGAACTTATGTAATCAACAAGCAAACACCAAACAAACAGATATGGCTGTCATCCCCAACAAGGTATGTTCTGTACACATCTAGTATCCATCTAAAATATAATCTTATGTTTTATGTGGATTAGAAACTTGATCCGGTGGCCACAGAGAATAGAATATTAGGTTATATTATTATATATCCAAAGCTACAAAATGAGTTCATTAGATCAGGTACCTTAAAGTGGCATGAACTTTGTGAAATTTCATCTGCTGTATCAAGCAATCTGTAGACAATTATGTATTATACATAATTGTCTACAGATTTATCATTTTCAGGAACATTTTTCTATAGTGGTCTTTAAAAATGGTCTCGACTATCTTTATCTAACTGTGATTTGAATTTGCTCTGTATGTGGCCTTGTTTATATTCTCCAACTAGAGCTATGATGTAGATATATCAGCCGTTTTTTATTCCATTCAATTTTCCCATCCACCTTGCTTTATATAAGTATTTTTGATGACAATGTTCACTCATATTTTCCATTAATTTTTCTTTCATTATCACTCTCCCATCCTATCCCCCCCCCTTCTATTTCTCTCTCTCTCTCTCTCTCTCTCTCACACTCTCTCCCATTGTCTCCCTCTCTTTCTCTCTGAAAATTGCCGCACATACATCTGTTGTCCATCTCTCACTCTGACAATGCTTTTACCAGTGGACCCAAGAGATACGACTACATCAACAAAAGATGGATCTATGTTCACGACGGCATGGCCATCCATGACCTTCTCTCAGAAGAGATCTCAAAGATCCTGGATTCTCCCGTAGACGTCACAGAGGCTGAAAGGTGGGACACGTGACATCAAGCAATTGATATATGAAGAAGATGAGACTACTTTGGGTTCTCGGGAATTCTTGGAAATATTCAGCGTGGAACAGAGGAGAAGCAAAAAATTTAATTGAAGCAAATGTTTTGAAATGAGTTGTGTCATTTCGAGTTCCATTGACTTTTGATTCATCACGCAATGGTGCATGCAATGAAGAATCAACAAACAATTGTATTTAATCATAAATTGTTGGCTTGTTCTATGCAATTTGTTTGCCAACATGTATTATGCAGTTTCTTTATTGATTGATGAAGCTATTGGGAAATGTTCTTGTATCGGAAGGGAGCAAAAAATCCTTCCTATCGGCTTGAGGTTACATTTGCAGTACATGTATTTCATTGAGACTACTTGTGCCTGTAAAAATGCAAGTAGATCCAAATTTGTCTTTGTAATAACAGTATTCTATTCAGGCAAATTTTTAACTTGAGTTAGCCCACTGCATTGGGGTTAATTAGGAAGAAGGACAACTCTTTAAATGTTGTATTAAAATCATCTTATTGTGCAATCATTCAATTAGTTCGTCCCTCCAAATCCTGTGTAAAAATTTCAAAATGTTGTACTATCATTGTACTGATATTTATATCACAGTGAACCTTGTTCTATCAAACTCCATGGGACTTGTGAAATATCCTGTAAAGTCTTTACATCAAAACTGTGTTATATCAGGGCTGGAAAACACAAGAATACAAAGAAGATTTGCATATTATTTTGTGATTATGAATAATATTTATGTTATATTTTATTCATACTCCTTATCCATCAGCCAATAAAATGCAAGATAAATCTTTTTTGATTGAATTTATATATTCTTGCTATTCTCTTTATATGTACACTTTACGCTCAGTCTAAGTTCAACTTTTAGAAAAAGAAGTTGGAGTGAGGTCTAGGTTTTTCCATTTTAAATCAAACGTGACTTATTTCAGCACTGGATTTAAATGAATTCAGTAGAATAACGACCATACCAACTCAATACCATTACACTCCAAAACACAAGAACACTTTGCACAAATGAATTTTGACTAATAATTTAATTCAGTGACTTGCATTACCTCTATCCATCCTTGATAAACATAACAAGTTGTGTACTTTTGTTCATTAAAGTTTATTAAAGTTTACAAAGTGAATGCGATACTGCCTCTCTATCTTTTTGTTTACTTTTTAGATCCAGCATATAAATGTTAGATTGTGTGTACTTTGATAATGATGATTATATTTGGTAATGTTGAAGACTAAGTTGGACCTCATATTATTGATCTCCAATAACTACATGCAGGTCTATGTAGCACACAAGACATACACACTAACATATCCGCATTCATTAATTTGGTTTAAAAAAGTAAACAATTAATTGTATACATGTATAATATTTGGTTGCAATAGAATAAGTTCATACAGTATTACAGAACTACCTTCCACAGATTGCTCCAGTACTACTAATAATAGTGGGTTCTTTTATAGGGGTCATATCTGTCAAACTTGACATTTCTCTTGATTATTACCTTGGCTTAAGCATGGCTGCCATTACAGAGCTCTAGCATTTCAAGGAATTAATTCCTGCCAGGTAACCATTTACATCACCTGGGTAGAGTGTGGCAATTGTAGATCATTGTCTTGCCAAAGGACATTAGTGCCGCGACAGGACTCGAACTTCGGACCTTGTGATCCAGTCTGGTGATGTATTCATTCAACCACGACACCTCTACAGTACCAGTGGCGGTGTCGTGGTATAGTGGTTCATTCACTTCAACTCTCAATCAAAGGGTTGAGGGTTCTAAATCCCAGTCCAGCACAAATGTCTTTAGCGCAAGAAATTAAACCACTTTTGCCACTCTCCACCCAGGTGTAAATGTATGTATTTATTCATTGCTCCAATGTCATTCAACATGGATATTTGGTTTGCTCACATGTCAAATATAAAGGCTAAGACAAAGTTTACAAAGAACAGACATATGATACATATTAAACATGGATACATTTTGGTGATGACAAAAAATGAAATAGCCAGACATAATAATGAATTTTGATTGGTTATGGCTTCTTTAGTTTCCTTAAGTTAAGTAATGTATGTGTTTTTATGCATGTTTATAAATCAAAATTATTAACAACTACCTTATACATATAGGAAATTAAGCTTTTAAACTGAATTGAAGTATATTGAACAGAGTAATAATGTTGTAGTGCCAGGATCATCAAGTCGTAATGGACATGTGCACATCTATACTGTTAGAAGCCACCATCATCTTCTGTTACATTACTATGTAAAAGGAGTTTTTAAAAGTAAACTTGTACACATTTTTCAACACTGATTTAAGTTTGTAAAAAATTAGTTTGCTTGTACATTGAATTGGCAAGTATAATCATTTTCTTCTTTACCTGATTATTTGATACAAACATGCACATCTTTAAGTCTTTCCCGTAAACAAAGATGTTGCTCATGCTAAATCCCTGATGAAATGGCAGAATCGAACCTTTATAAGCCATAATCACAATCTTCCCAACATGTTTGAATTCCTCAAGTTATGATTGGCTCATTTCATGGTCCTCTACATGCAAAACATCTACCAATCTCCCTTTTTTTGTAGTCTTGTTGGTTCAGGATATACATGTAGATTTTGTACACAATTTACAACCTGATTTATCTGTGGGTGCTCTTGTGAAAACACTTAAAGCAAGTTCAACACTTTCAGTTGAATAGGTAAGTATTAAAACTGAAGTTTAGATAAGTATGAATCTCCAAAATTGTGAAGAAATATAATAATTTAACACATCAAAGAACTACATCGTATTCAGTCATTCTATTTTCTTTTTGTTTCCTTAATATTTAACACACACAAAAAGTACTCTAAATCCTAAAAATGTTATTGGCAGCACCTCGGACTGATTGTCAAAGTGAGAATTAATTGACTGTTCACATATATTTGTGATATCATTTGACCGGCAGATTATTTGCTACGTGACAAATTGCAACTGATTGCTTATTAATGTAGCAACTTTACATGTATTCAATATTATTTCTACAACTTTGGGTTCACCTAATGCCTACCTGCAAACCTTTAACATACAAAATTTGGAATCTACCATTCAAATATAATATTTCAGATAAAGAGAGGAATCTGGGGTTCAAACCAGTAGCTTGAAGACCCCCAAGAAAAAGATTAATTCCTCCAAAATAGGAATGGTTGGCAGCTATGCCAATGGGGTAATGCCATGTGACATGGCAAAAATCATTAAAAGCTCAATATCTTTGGAACTACACATATTGTGCAAAAACTCCTGCACTGCACGACATAAGCAAACAAATCTGGTTCAATAACATTACTGGCCAATATGTCACACAATCAAAAGATTTGAAATCGAGAAAAAAAATCCATAAATTCATGGATTAAAATTCCCTTACCAACATTCACATGCTCTAGCCTTTTTAGAGCAAGATGTTGGTTTTATTATTTGCTTCATATAATAGCATGACCATATTAATACATATTAATAATCAGTGGACATTTACACAAATGCACACTATGAGACATGAAACATTTTATTTTCTGGCAAGATTGAAATCAAAGTTGAATGGTGCTAAATCTAAACACTCTCCTTGCACTAAGGCCTAAATTCTATCACTCATAATTATATAATTAAAGCTAGCTCAGTCAAATAAAAAAAGCTCAATTTACAAGCCAAACAATATTAATTTCCTACTTGTTTAATCCAATCCAATCCAATCCAAAAGATATTTGATATAGCACCTTTTCCTTGCAGTTACAAAGCGCTGCAGAGTTGCTAAGTAAGAATCAACAGAGTATGTGTTGCAGCACTATATTTTTCTTACTCTGAAATTAAAACTGAATACAACCGAGAAAAGACTGCATGTAGTGGGACAAAAATCACGAAATATGACAGAAAGGCTGAGACTCTGTACCTTTTACAATACAATATTGTCCTTCATTCAAATATCTTCAATAGCATTTAATGCCCCATATTGTCAATGGTTTTGATGAATGTGGAATACACGGTAACTGCTTGTAACGGATGATATCTGTGTTGCCCTTGATTGTCATTATTGCAATCAACGTTTAGATAGGAAACATAAGAAAATAAGACTTTTTCTCAGAAGGGAAGACAAAATGAATCATTAGTGATTGATTGTTCATGTAGCTGCATTGTTAAGTGTTAAGTACTCTTTTCAAGAAATACTCTTAATACATTATTAAAACTCAATAAATTATCTTGACAGGAAAACTCTTTCTTGAATAAAGGTAGAATGAAAACTACATAAAAAGACAATTTAATCTCTTCTTTCATGAAGATAAAGTCAGCCTCAGAGACAATTTACATAGTTTTAGATACACACACTTACCTATCATCAGTGCACATTATATAATAGAAAGTTAGACACATTAATACAGGTGTAAGAGTAATGTTGCAATTATCATTAACAGGGAATCCTTCAGTCCCACGCTGGTTTGCTTCCAGCACATTGAAGGTTGACGTAAGGAATCCCTGCATTCACCCAAGAATCCTTGGGCCAATACTTTAGGACGGGACCCATCTCTGGACATTCGTTCATTGCATCGAAGTACGCAAAGAGGACACAGGCCGTGTACGCTGAGATGAAGACCATGATGTGCCAGGCACAGTGGAGGTACGGGATAGAGTAGGACTGCCAGAAGTCGCAGAGGAATCGATCACTGAGCCAGCAGCTGACCGATATTACCCACATCAAAGCACATGTCTTGCCCAGCTTGACAACACGCGGACAATGTGCCCTGCAGAGGATATGAAAGAGAGATGGGTCACAAAAGGGGAGGGAGAGGGCAAGGTATAATACAAAGAGAGAAGGCAGAGGAGGAGAGGGAGGAAGAGAGTACAAACAAGGGCAAAGAGAAAGGTGAGAGAGAGAGAGAGACAAAGGAAAGGTGAAGAGACCAAGGGGAAAAAAAGTGTGACCCCAGGGTAGAGGGAAGAGGAAGACAGAAAGAGGGGGTGGTGTTAACATTACAAGACAAAGCAGTAAATACATTTACACTCTCAAATTCATTGTAGTCATACATGTATGTCATCAGGCTAAGCTAAGTTTGCATTTATTGCTACAAGCAACACAAAATTTAATTCACAGAGACTCTCTCTCATAAACATGTACAACTAGACTCATATCTTCATATTGCACTGAATGCTGATTGCTGTCTAAATTTCACATGATATCTGCATTATCTGAATGATCATTCTGGTATTGTTTACTTAATAATCAAAGTTCATAGATTATAAATTACTGTACCTCCAAATCCTATTGTATTATTCCACATGATATCTGTCCTTCTAGAAGTGTAATCTGCATAACCTGAAAATCATTTTGGTATTGTTTACTTTAATCAAAGCTCATGGACTATAAATACCTCTTAATCCTATTGCATCATTCTGCCTGTACAGAAAATGAAATCATGTGCTCAGCTACATACACCATAAGAGTAAAACATTAATAATCAAAGCTAACCCATTGACTCCTGGAACCGAATGGCTCCTGTATTAAGCCTATGGGAATTAAACAATTCAGTAGTCAACTGGTTAATGTCCACTTACCTCCGGAGTTCTAACACCATCATGCATATGCAGGGTCCAATGAATGACATCATGACAAAAGAATTTACTGCCGGCCTCACCATGGCAAGGCAAGTACTGGCGACTGTGAATAGCAACATTATCCATTTGAATTTCTTCCTGTAAACAGAAAAAAAGACAACTCTACATTAATTCAAGTGTATTCCAATTTTCAAAGTCTCAAAAATCTATACTTTGGTCAGCTGAAATTAGATGTAAAACCCCATAGATGGAGAGCAAATAGTTCTGCTACAACTGATGGTACAGATTTTGCTCTCCAGATTATTATGCATACCGGTAATAAGTTTTAAACTTTGAAAATTTGTTTTTATTGTGCTGTCTAATTTAAATAAAAATTACAAATTTGCCCCAAAGTAGTACAAGTTAAAAAGAGATTTTAACCATGTCATTACGATGCTCTAAAGGATTTGGAGGACCATTTGTTATTCTGGCCCACATGCTGAATTTTCTTAGCAGTTTCCGGCATGAGACGTATGGTTTGTGGCTTTATTAGACAGTACCAACCCACCTGCTTCCTTTGATGTTTGCTGGGTAGTACCTTCGAGGATACCAGAGGGCCACTCCACAAAGAACAACCCAGATGATAGCCACCTCGTCCAGAAGCTGTCCAAACATGCTGAGGGTAGCATGGAAGTAACAGGAGAAGATTCCCACAACCATCAGCAGGATCCACATGATGTTGACGTGCCAGTTGTACCGGACAGCGTACTGGCGGAAGAGGTAAAGGAGGAGGGGAGGGATGACGAAGAAAAGGATGTTGCTGACCTGCAGAGGAAAGGATAAAGTGAAGTTAGAAATTAGAGAGGGAGAGAACTGAGGCACTGTGGTGTTGGTGATGGATCTTGACTCTCATACCAGGGCCCGTTGCATAAAACTTACCATTGATGGTAACTTTGCCATCAAAAGCAACTACCATGGTAACAGGGCTCAACAGCCAATCAAAATCAAGGTTTCCATGGTAGTTACTGTACCATTGATGGCAAAGTTACCATCAATGGTAAGTTTTGTGCAACAGGGCTCCTGGGTCTGATCCTTGCTAAGTGCTTGAAGCCTTGGACAAGGTGTTTTGCCCACATTCGTCCCACTCGACCTTGGTGTATCAAATGAGTCCCTGGCATTGTTGGGTCTCAGGGCTCACAGGATGGGTAATAACCCCTTAATTTACAGTATGCTGGATGAGCAATTATAATCAAAACTGAAAAGGCTACCTTAGTAAATATGACCAAATTTATTACTGTCATTTATTCTAAAACTGCTAAGTAAATTAGCTTAAATATAAGGTTCAGTACCAAGTATAACCTATTTAAGATAAAGATGTTTGTTTTGTCTGTTTTAATCACTCACTTTGAATAAAGGTCATTATCATAATACATAACTTTTTCCCGAAAGTAATTTGTTGTCAATTCTAATCAAGCAATCACACATTAAACACAGATCAGCACCATATTAATTGCAAAGAGGAGATTACAAGTGGCACATGCCTAGACATTTGATACGGCTAAGATTTGAAACTCAACAAGAACTTAATACTTCTCACATTAGTGTGGGAAAAACAATACTATTTCATTTATCATGAGTACTTGTAGTGTTATCACTTGAACATTATATGGCATATAACCCATTGGATTTTGGTTATAAACTATTCCATAGAGGAGTACACCCCAACCTGAATTATCTCTGGCTAAGGATCCGATAGGTTAAAGGAAAATCAGACATCTACTCTTTAAAAAAGCAGAAAAATCAGAGAAGCAGAGAAGTAGATTGGAGAATGTTTGAATGAAATCAGATAACGAAATTAATAGAGTTACATGCATTGTTCAAAAGTTGTAATCACTATACCTACAGCCACTTCAAATTGGCAGAATCAGTAATGTCACTGTCAGGTACAGTGACTGGACAACTTTCTCATTCGTTTCTACACACAACACTACTATGATGACAATTATTGAAAATGTATGACTAATAAATGAAGGTCTTTCCTTTTATAAAGAGGACCTATAATTACCCATAATGTATTTGAGTATTATCCTTAGGGAGAAGGCAAATTTGGATAAAATGTACACAACAAAAAGAAGAGTTGTCCAAGACTATGTCACAATCCACTGACCAAATTTCCAATTTTGAGATTCGCAAATATTTAGTGATCTCATATTTCAAACATTCATAACTCTGTAATTATTTGTCCATGCTATTTCAATTTTAGGCTATTCTATTTCTCCTATTTTCTGCTTTCATGGCAATGAACTCATTACAAGGATTGAATTGCCTTTTAATAATAAGGTAAAACAAAACAAACAGAGTTCTGTGTGAGAAAAAGCGAACTGCTAAGAAAGGCTACTGTTCATGGGCCACCTGGGTAACCTGAGGTCAATACGGAGGGATTAGTCCATTGTTGAGAGCAGATTAGCAGAACACTGCATGTACTTATTGTACTACTAACGTACTTTTCTATTCAAGGAGTACAGGTAAGCTTATTATGTCTCGACTAAACTTGAATAATCTATGTATACCTGTATGCATCAACTACATAGTACATACATGTACAGACAGGGCTTGACACTTTAGACAGGTGCCCCATAGCACAATGGCTCTCTTTATTATTAATTATTGTAAACCCTGACAATTTCAAAATTTAATTTGTTTCAACAGTTGGGGGGGGGGCAGGGATACAGACCCTTACTATCGATCTAGTCCTCCTATGAATAAAGTTAAGTCTTATGTATGTAAAACAAGATTCCAGAGGTAAAGCACTTTGTTGAAAAGATGTTCTTGACTGGGAGGCTATTAGAAAAGAAAATTTAAAGAGTCCTTTTCATTCTTCACAACATTCTCACTATGTCAAACAAGTAGATGACTAATGCCTACGGTACATATACCGGTACCTGCATATTGTATTTAAATCCAGATTGACTCTCAATCATTCATGTATTCAATTTAAAATCCCCTTGAAAATACTTGATCTCTAAGTTTAAAATATTTCAATTCCTATGAATGGTCTCAATACGTATAATAGAGGGAGACATCCTACACTCCTCCATTTTAATCCCCTCCAAACCCACCCCCATCCTACTATCAAATTTCATAAATGCTGTGTTGACATAGTATGGCGTCAAGCTGCCCATATAGATGTATGTACTTAACAGGGTACATGTACAGGTGTAGTTATCGATCTGTAAAGCACTTAGAGACATTATTGGTGTAGTTCACTACATGAAGTACAATATTATTCTTATGCAATAGTATTAATACACAATGCTGGTTCATTCCCCCCCCCCCCCCCCCTGAAGGCCATCTGGTCACAATTTAAGTCAAAGATGTACATCTTATGTATACAGTAAATGATATTTTCACACCCATTTTAAGTGATGCTTCGTACTGCAATAAGGCAAAATAGAAGGGACAAAAGCTGGCCAAGATGTATGGGGGTGGGGGGCAAAGAGCAAGTTCGATTAAATATTCATAAAAATTCCCACATTAATTAATAAATAAACCCATGAAGAAGAAAAAAATTAGTACCAGTCTTGCGGTTGTAGTCCTGCAATTACTAAATTAATACAACATAATTATATTGTAGCCATGACCACATTGGCTTTAAAGCCCCCCCCCCCCCCCCCCCCCCCTCCATCACAACCTTACCAATGAACAAAAACAAACCAGGGTGTACATAATATAATACTTACTGTATTGTAGAATTCTGCTATACCAGGAACTATTGCGTAATTATTCTCGCACCAATCAATGGCTGCACTCCCTCGTTCCAGATTGTCCATGACTAGCTCGTCTCCTTCAGATTCCAAGTTACGCAGGCACCTGTGCCTGTTCCTAAACAAACATCGGAAAGACAGTCATACAAACAAACTGTTTGGAAAGACAATACCAGAATTCAGTCTGTCTATTCCAGTTACAAGGAAATACCTTGTAAATAAAAAGTTAACCATCCAGAATGCCTTGAAAGGAACGGTTATACAATAGACTGTAAATAGACACCTATTCATAAATTTGTGTACACCAGTAATACTACCGGTAAATGCTTTAAAACATTTGGATATACAATTAATTATATTTAGACAAAACACAATCTGGTTACTGGTATCTGGGGACGAATGGAGTGTGGGTTATGTTGGAACTCGATAAAAAAAAGTAGCCAGGAAATTGATGAAGATGACGATCTTGATAATATTTAATGATGATGGTGATTCAGATGATTTATAATACCGGTATACTAGACCGAAAGCTTCAGTCTCTATACCGTCGGTTGTTCCACTAAGACTACGTCTGGCTCCACTAGACCTCCGGTTATAGAGACTGAACGATCGCCTATGCCAGCCTATGTTGAAGATATCACGGCTAGATTTTAGCCGTTAGGCCCCTCCCACAAACATGAACAAACTTGCCACGGCCGTATTGTTATGCCCCCAAAATCCCCCAAAATGTCATTTTACCTCGTGCATATCCAATTTTACATAAGGCCTAGGCTATAATACATCGGTTCCACTTACTAACTTGATTGAAATAATCCGTTTAATGGTCCCTTTTAAGGAAATTATGGGTCAAAATCGACATCCATGTTGAAAATCTTGCAAGCCGTGTTAAACTCTCGCTGCCGTCAATCTCATCCCTTCTAGTCTACGCCGAAGGCAAAAATGATTATGAAGGAAAAACTGTGATAACGCCATTACGAACATGTAGATGGCGCAGTTTTTCCTTCATAATCATTTTGCCTTCGGCGTAGACTAGAAGGGATGAGATTGACGGCAGCGAGATTAACACGGCAGAGTTTAACACGGCTTGCAAGATTTTCAACATGGATGTCGATTTTGACCCATAATTTCCTTAAAAGGGACCATTAAACGGATTATTTCAATCAAGTTAGTAAGTGGAACCGATGTATTATAGCCTAGGCCTAATGTAAAATTGGATATGCACGAGGTAAAATGACATTTTGGGGGATTTTGGGGGCATAACAATACGGCCGTGGCAAGTTTGTTCATGTTTGTGGGAGGGGCCCAACGGCTAAAATCTAGCCGTGATATCTTCAACATAGGCTGGCATAGGCGATCGTTCTGTCTCTATAACCGGAGGTCTAGTGGAGCCAGACGTAGTCTCAGTGGAACAACGGACGGTACATAGAGGCTGAAGCTTTCGGTCTACCGGTATACAAAATCATTCATAGCCAAAATAGGGAATGAAAACAAAACTTGGGTTAGAATCTAGATGCTGGGAGTAGGATGCTAGCCCAAGATCTAAGAAGTTGAGGTCTGCAAAAAGTGGAATATTATTTCTTTATTTCACAGTTCTACCGGCCGCAAACAGCAAAGGCCAGAGGAAAAACCCAGCTAAATCCCCATCCAGCTGACACCAATATCTACCCACACTTGCACTTACAAAGAAAAGGGTGAAATACAATCAGTAAGGCTTTGCGGACATGAATTTTGAGAGTTCATGAAAGTGTCACTAGACACTCAGTCTGAAACCCCGTCTAGCTCTGACTCACACACAATGCACTCAGCTAGTTCACGACCGACCACCATCTCTCTCTCTCTCACAGTCTCAGCTCAAAAATATCGGAGTCGGGCTAACTCGGCCCACGGGACTACTCGGCCCAGCTGGAAAAACTGGGCCGAGATGTCCCGACCTGATTAATCGATCGAGAGATACCAATGTGTATATGTTTGTGCTCTTTGTGACTTAATAATGCCCTTTCCAACCAAAATCTTTAATGGAATTGTGTTAAATGATACCAATGAAGACAATTATAACTTATCTTTACGGCCCAGTTTTCCCAGCTGGGCCGAGTAGTCCCGTGGGCCGAGTTAGCCCGGATTCAAAATATCACATGCATGCGAATGGACGCAGATGCAGTCGACCGGGCCGGCGACCAAGACTCGACTCTCTTGCAATAAATTCAAAGATCTAATTATTCTTACCAGAATATAACCTCAAGAATGGCCTGGGTCGTCTGATCTGCACATCAGTAGCAATACAGATATTTTAACTTGCACGTGTGTTTTAAAACTGCATTATTCGCAATTTGTACTGTTCGCGAATATATATTGCGCAGTCAATAAGAAACACCACATTGCATTACCACCGCATCGAGCTGAGATAGGCGATCTTTGTTATGCATGCAGCATACGTCATAATCAGCTGTTCGGCTAGAAGCCGTCGACATCAGATTACACGTGTTGTTGCTGTTGTTGTTGTTGTATTAAACGTGGTCATATCCGGTGCGCTATCATATTCCAAATCTCAGTTCACAGGAGATTCATTTCGGTAGAGAAAGGAAGTGTAAATTAGCCATCTTTCACTCGCGATATCACGCATTTTTATTTGAAAAGTACATCTTCCTCGTAATCAAACACCGAGTAACATCATGATGTAGAAGTTGTTGTTGCGTTGCGTAAAGTAAGACTTTATTTTTTTTGGAGGGGGCAGGGGGGCGTCATTTTTTTCTGCGGCACAGATTGGGGCTTTTTTTTTAAAGTGGTCTTGATTTAGCCCTAACCCTAACCCTAACCCTAAACTTTCACATACTGGCCCAACACGCACCTATAACCCCAATCTGTGCCGCCGGAAAAAAAACGCCCCCGGGAAACCCCAAAAATGTGTGGAAGCTAGGGTGGGGTCTGAAGGGGAATATGCCTATAGACATTTATAGGCTACAATTACGATAGGTCGATAGCATGGAGTAATTAGGCGAAATATATGTCTGGAGGAATTCTAGCTGTCTCCCCTATTCCTCCCCAGGGCCCTGACCCCATCAAGTCACCGATTCAACACAAAATACATCTTGTCAACACCTTCAAAATTGCATCCACAGTCGATCTGGCTCCTCCTTTCATATATAAACTAATTAGTCAGGCATGCAGGGGCGGCGATTTCACTCGGTATTTGCTCTCGGTATTTGCTATACATTTTGTTTATTGCACTTTTTCAAATTTCCGGGGGGCCGGATCACCGCCCCTGCCACCGGGCAACCATCCCGCTATTCCTTTGCTCATGATACTCTCAAGGCATCACACTGATCACCCAACATGCTTCCAAAACTTTGTGACAGAGCATTCACAACTGCTGCTCCCAAACTGTGGAATTAGCTACCCATAATCTCTCGGTAACCAACAAAATTTCAATACCTTCAAAAGATATCTCAAAATACTCACCTCTTCTGTAAACTGTAAAGCGCATTTGAACATTATATTGCGCTATATAAATACATTATTATTATTATTATTATTATTATTATAATTATTATTATTATCAATATTATTATCAATTTTATTATTATTATTATTATATAGCACCCAAGATTTGGACGGCAAGTAATTTTAATTTGAGGGGGGTCCTGTTGGATTTTGATATTGATATTATTGATTTTGAGGAGTTAGAGGAATACTACGTATAAAACTTCCTGAAAAGCAAACAAAATAATACATAAATTAATTAAATTAAACACGATTATACTTCACCTTTTCTCGTTATGTAACATAATAAAAAGTAATATATTTAGATCAGGCGTTTGATCAGGGGTCGGCGTATAATAGGCAGGTGCTCCTCACCCTTCCGACCCTCCTGCAACATTCCCTAACAATATTTTGTATTTTTTTTCTATGTGATTATGCATAAATCTGCAAACGATCGTTTTCATTATCGTCGTGCATATCACAATAGCAAATATTATTTTCAAACAGATTTAACGCTGGGACGATGCTTGGTAACTCCTTAAGTTCAAACATAATTCTAACTCTTGTCAACATGGCCAATACATTCAACAAAAGGGCTCCCCCTCTGGCAGTTAGCTCTACTTTTATGGAATTCACTATATTCTCTCACCAGTCAGTGTGCTCGAAAAAAAACAGTCATCTATAGATTCGTTTGTACTTGGCTCACTGGCAAAACAAAAAGCATGTAATCTTAGGTATATGAGAATCATCATGTTGGCATATGAATACGCCTTCTTCCATATTAATATCCTTACATCAGTAGATCATTTCAAGGCCAGTATGAAAACTTATCTTATTCATATTCATATTTATTTCATTTCCAACAGAAAGGTAAACAAATGGCCAACTTTAACTAATATCATCTGTTTACCATGTATAATTTAATGTAAGCATAATTGTATCTAAGTAGCTCATTGTAAGCGCCTTGAGCACCCTCTGGGTGGATAATGTTGCACGTTATATAAATGTCTTTAATATTATTACATGTACAGATATAATAAAGAAGAACAAAGATTAAGAATCAAACTCGGGAACCTTTAATTTTTCTCACCTAAAAACTAATTATTTCTCTCTATACTTCCTCTTTTTCTCTTTGTTTGCTCACACCAAACACAATCTATTATTAAAATATGAATTATACCATCCCCACTGCATGGCTCAAGCTGACTTAATTTTGATCTGTTATTCTTTTATATTGTTGTTATGTTCGAGGCTTGGCAAATAAAATAAATCAATCAATCAATCAACCCCACCCCCCCCCCCCCAAAAAAAAAAAAAAAATTAAAAATAAATAAAATTAATAAATAAATAAATAAATATATATATACAACAAAAATCCTGACGATTCATGGATGATGAAACAAAATAGATTGAAACTGAGAGCGTATAAGCTAATTACAATGCAAGGCCGCATATCTGTCAAGAAGATTCGCATCATGCAAGATGAAATGGCGTCTTTTGTTGAAAATATTTTATGTCTGATCAGGGTCCCTCCCATCTCCCTGGTCTTATAGTACAACGACATTATATCAGGGGCTTTTCAGGAGCAAATATACTTCACAAACATGCGCCCCCGAAGAGACAAAGTATAAATATAACTTAAAACAACAACAAATTTAAAAAAAAAATTATTTTCTTTAAAACAAACAAACAAACAGAAAACTGCACAATATTTATTTGAAGATGAGTATAACTAGACAAAATGCAGAATAACTCAAGAGAGATATGAGAAAAAGGTAGAGAGAGAGAAAGAGAGAGAGAAAGAGAGAGAGAGAAAGAGAGAGAGAGAGAGATGGGAGGGGGCATCTCAGTATAAGACCGACAATTCCGACATGCAGTGAGCCATCAGTCTCATGAACCACGAATTACACTGGAAGGAGTTAAGTTAGTCACCTGCATTTTCTTTCATGAGTTTATGATAATATTATTGAATCAACAATAAAGTGCGTGACTATACATGTACAATGTAGACATCTTACTCATGGCAGGCTCACTTTCCGCGATTGATTTTTTTATAATGGGGTAACATAATCACTATGCATGATCATAAATCAATCATTAAGAACAAGCATTGAATCATAAAGTGGTATTTTAGTTAGGGAAGTAGAGATATGCTATCCCCGAAACTAGATTGACAGCTGTATAAACATGATTATACGTAATTAATACAGTTGGAGTACAAAGGCTGACAGACATAACAGAGACATAACCCAACACTATTATTACAGTCGAGGCGAAATTATATACTGAAAAATGCATTTGATTATAAATCAACCTTTTTACACAATTGCTCAATATTGACGAGCACTCAATAAACGTATAGATACGAAAAATAGACAGGTAGACAAAGCATATAGCACAACTCGGTGCTTAATGGAAAATGTGGGGATATACGACACTGAAAGAATTGATATCGAAAAAAGATATAGATCTTTTTTATTTTTTAAATATATATATATTTAATGGAAAACTGATACCTGTATATTGTTTAAAACACGAAGAAATGCAAGATACCTTTAAGTGGGTAATGTTGCAATTGATAAGATCAGAGAGAGGGGAAGAGAGAGAGAAAGAAAGAAAGAGAGGGGAAAAGAGAGAGAGAAAGGAAGAGAAGGAATTGAAAATGAAAATTGGAGACTACTGAAAACATTTTTATAACCGCAGGTAATTGGTTTTCAATACCAATATACTAAATATTTTTAGAGCAGTTATCCCCAGCAGTTCAACGTCATTTGCTCTGATTTTCCATTAAAAAACATTATTTATTTGCTGTTTTATTGAATTATTTCCTGTTTCATTGTGTTCTTTCATAAAGGCATTTAAAATAAGTCCTAGAAATTAAGAGAGAAAGGATTTTTCTTATTCATCCAGACCCAACCTATTAAGCTTGTGTGTAAAATGATTAATAACACTAAAATGCTTGTGGGTTCCAGCAACTAATTATCATTTTAAATTCTCCACTTATGAATATTTATGTACCTGCTTCGAAAAAATGGAGATTATAATGAAGCTGGAGGGCATATAGTCTAACCAAAAAAAAGGATGTTGTATTGCCATATAGGTGCCAGAACATGGGTCGGTCGGTCGGTCGGATTTGTTAATACTTTATTTAAAACTTCCCCCCCCCCCCCTCAAAACAGCGACTGTCGCCCAAAAAACTCAATACCAGGAACGTTGCCCAAATCTCGCTGGTTTCTAGCTGATGCAGTGAGTGCATGGTTTATATAGCACGAAGCCGGGGTCTACTTGTTAACGCTAGCAGGATTTCGAAACTAGGGCAGAAGACGAGCGAGAATTGGGAATAATTGATAATTTTCTGCATTTGTATCCTATTTAAACAAACAAGATACATTTGTATTTTTTATTAAACATTTTTTTTCTAAAAAACGGTTAAAAAAATATTTAAAAAGCCGACCATAGATTTCAAGATTTTGGGGTCGGTCGCAAAGGGCAATACAACATCTTTTTTTTAACTCCTAAGAGTTTGATATACGCGCTGTGTACAACTTACAAGAAAGCTGTCTCATTATTATTTTGTTTTCAATATTTTTTTCTTCATAAACACAGTAAAGAAAGGGATGATATCAAAACTGAATGAATTATTCTCCAGTCAAAGACTTTGGAACTGTGGAAACGTATCCGGCACAGGGTAAGGTCGGTGTACGCCCCCCCCCCCTTGGTGGCTGAGGACACAAATCAAATAAAACTTGCACAGGGTCTACAACACGACTTTATGATGCTCCGACATTGACTACAGAAAATCGAATTGATTATCTTTTATAATGCAATAACCATGAAGGTAAAAGCAACACATGGAAGTGCACCCAATCTTGATGCCAGACATTGTATTATGACTGCCGTTGTGATATTATTCATACCATTCAACTTCAAGCAGAAAGGAGGCATCCAAGCACTATTTGTTTTAATTAAGGAGTAGGCCTATATTTCTTTATTACTAGGTCAGATTTG